TGTGAATACAATAAATTACATGCATGCTGTAAACCAACATTAATAACCAAAAACGAATATGTTAGGTCAAAGAGGTTTAGCTGACAAAAACTTTGAGAATCCCTGCTGTAAACAATGCATTTGCAAAACTGACCTTATGCTTGACTTTCAAACAACAAAATCGATTGTGAATATTGTTAAATATCAAAGATTACTTGGATTGTTACCGACATCTGGTGAAAATGTCATGTCAACAGCACCTTTAGAAATATATTTACTGAGAAAAATGGTGATGTGTTCAATACTTATTTTACCCACTGTATTATTCAGTACTTAAATGTACACAATTTGTGACAAGGACACCATAAAATAAAGTGTAACTCTTTATTTTAAGGTATTATTGTTACAACGTAATTATACAAATAAGTACTGAGCATTATTATTTAACAACATGTATTTACAGCATTAGGGTTAGGGTTAATTGCTTGTAATTATGAATAATTTACTATTATTATTACTATAGTAAGGACATGTAACATGTAACAGGGGCACTTTGAAATTAAGTATTACCGAAACTTGTGTATGTATTTAAATAATATATAATCATGTATTTAAATAAATTTTTAATTACACATCTGTAATGATGTAATATTGAATAACTCACTACAGTTACAAAATATAATTAAGTACATTACATGAGCCTAGTATGTTAGTCAACACATTAAAATGAAAGCACAACAAAAGTTTAAAACAAATTGAACAAATTTGAAATGTACTTGAAAATTAAACATTTAATTAGACATTATTACAAAGTGCACTTCAGTGTGTTTAAAACACAGTCATGAAAGAGTCTCTCTTTAAGTACACTTGAGTGGCATTTTGTTTCGTTAATGTTATATTATCTGCAAGGGTAGTTTTTTATTTTTAAATATACTTGAATTATTAATGCAAATATAGATATTTGAGGAGCCCTACTTTTGCTGAAACATGACTATTTCAGTTTTCTTGTGAATACAATAAATTACATGCATGCTGTAAACCAACATTAATAACCAAAAACGAATATGTTAGGTCAAAGAGGTTTAGCTGACAAAAACTTTGAGAATCCCTGCTGTAAACAATGCATTTGCAAAACTGACCTTATGCTTGACTTTCAAACAACAAAATTGATTGTGAATATTGTTAAATATCAAAGAGTAACGCTCTTTCTAAGATGGACCTTTAGGGGAATATTGACCATGCTAATGCTCGAGTTCAAGCCCATCCTTCACAGTCATACTGGATCAATACCACTTTCTGCTGTACTGAACATTACTTAGCCAACCACAATTCAACAACGGCACAAATAGAACAAGATGTATGTAATCACCAAGCAGCAGAGAGACACCAGCATAAGAAACAAAGAGAGATCATTCATTGTGCAGGCTACTACAAAAAGCAACTCGGTTTTTACATTTACAAATATAATGCGATCATCCTTTACTCATACAAATGTAAACACCATGATGATAGGGTGTTTTGGTCATTGGTAAAAGTGTTCAGAGTGGTTTTTTTTTTTTTTTGGTGTTACTGGCACAAGTCAGTATGATAAGGCTTGGGTTCCTCCTTTAATGTAAATCAATGGGATTTTTCTCATTCTGTTGTTTTGATTTAGCACCTCTAAGAATAGCTAATCAGTAGCACTACAGTAACTGCCTGCAATGTTGTTCTACTGTAGTTCAAGCAACTGGCTTGATGCTAAAAGTCATCTTACAAATATAAATATGCTCCTGTGGTGACATTTCTGCAAAATTCATTACATTGCATCTTAAACATTTTCTAACATGTCCAGTGGGTGGCAATAAAAGTGCTACAGTTTTATCCAAAAAAGATGAATGTGAATCTGGCAATGTTTTATTACACTGGTTGTTGTACATTTTGTGGCAGTTTGGAAAAGAAATGTGTGGTAAGTGGTGCTATAATTTTTATTGTGCCTGAAAACAATGTACTTTCTACACTAAAGCTGACCGTAAATGTAACCAATAGTGTTAACTTAAACAAATGTGAAATAAAAAAGCATTTGCTGAAGCAACCATGTCACTTTAGCTTGTTTCTACAAGTCTTTAAGCTGTTTTTTTGTTACTTCTTGTGATTCAAGGACTTTGCAAGTGCAATGCTGTACCAGGTGGGCTATTGAGCAAGTTTACTACATCAGAAAAGCTGGTTATGAGATGCAAACTTCAAAATGTATTAGTTTACAAATCATGCACTATGGTAAAAGTGTTTTAAGGTCATAAAATAGTATTGTGCAAGGAACCACGTGAAAATAAGTCTGTATTAATCAATAATCTGCCATTGTAATCATAATTTGTGTGAAAAGAAACTGTGTGAAATGCCACGTGTGTTTATTTGATCCTTTTTGGAGTTTTGCAAAAATGTAGGTATAGGCACGTTTTTCCCAATGAGCCTGGGTTGAATATATGGCTTGGTTCTACCCTAAGCCCAACCCCTTCATTTCATCTTCTCCACCCTCAGTACTCAACCACAAACTCTACCATCCTCCTAAAAAACATACCAGGAATCCCTAAGATGTTTTCCCAATGACCAGAACAAAGGCTTCTCCGCTAGTATCAGTCAAATGCACCCCGAATTAATCAAACTGAAGGCTGGGTGAGAGTTAGACTTCTATAAAAGCTTGCATACATATAATGCATAGACTACACTGAGCATGATATATTACGCCTCTGAGACCTGAAGCTGGCATTACAGGGTTCAGGGGGGCCGTTGTAATGTTACTGCTTCTGCCTGACTAGTCCCTTTTAACCGTTGTGTTGACTTTACAGGAATCGCCCCTATCACAAAGGAAACCAGCATGCAGTTTGGCAAACAGCCAGAAACCCCTCGCGGTGAAGCCCTGCCCATGAAAACCAAACCACCAGGACCTTTGTCATACCTACCAATATATATAGATAGGCCTATATGAGGATATATAAGAGGAAGTGGTAGGCATTGAACATATATGAATGAGTTTAATTGAGAAATGTACATTAAAATAACAAATTAACAATTTTATACACTGTATTTCTTTCATAGTGAATCCCCTTCAGGCTTGAACTGATCTGATTCATTTTCCACCTGGTTGATGCATCGCTGAGGTCAATAGCATGATTTAAGTGGTTGGAAAATGACGCAGTCACGTGCTCATCTATCATTTTTATTATTGAATATGAATGAATAATTCACTGTAATGGAGGGGCTGACTCAGAGGACAATAACACTGCTGAATAAAACCTTTCAGTCGTACAAGTGTAAAGCAGTTCAATGCCAAGCCAACAGGTTACAGTGGTACAGTTAAACTTAGTTTGCATTAGGTATCATGCTAATTAACTGTGAACATTGAACAACAATCTGTCTAACATTTATTAATGTAGGTTAATGTTTAATGCTAAATACTAATGTTCATTTCAAATTTATGTTCACTCTAAAAAATGCTGGGTTAAATATAACCCAACCGCTGGGTCAAAACAACCCAATAGCTGGGTTTGTCCCTTTTTAACCCAGCGCTGGGTTTTATTTAACCCAGCATTTTTTAGAGTGTTCATTTGTAATTCATAGTTTATTGCATTAACTAAAGTTAACCTACAGACCCTTATTGTAAAGTGTTACCATTGCAAGTGTACACTCTAAAAAATGCTGGGTTAAATACAACCCAGTGCTGGGTACAAAACCCAACCACTGGGTCAAAACAACGCAATTGCTGGGTTTGTCCCTATTTTACCCGTTGTTTTGACCCAGCGGTTGGGTTACTACCCAGAAGGTTGGGTTAAACATTTAACCCAACCGCTGGGTCAAAACAACGCAATTGCTGGGTTTGTCCCTATTTTACCCAGCACTGGGTTGTATTTAACCCAACATTTTTAGAGTGTAGCAGAGCTGTCAATGTCTCGGTAGATAGGGAGGCTTATTATAGTTCCCCTTCAGGAACTGAAGCTCCTCTCTCTAAGAGCAGTTTACATCCCTGGGTATCTAAATCAGTGGGCAGATATCCTGTCAAGACAGGGGCTGAGGCCAGGGGATGGAGGCTCCACCTACGCAGCTCGAGTTCCTGAAGGGGAACGTCTCTAGGTTACGTATGTAACCATGGTTCCCCGAGGGAACGAGACGCTGCGTTTCTTTGCCATACTCCATGCATCCCTCCAGGCGCTACTTCATCGATGCTAACTTGCGCTCTGCCGGATGCGCTTTTATACTTCCTGGCGCTCACGTCACCCCGCTCGTGACGTCTCGCTGCTCCATTGGACTGATTTTACATGTGCTTCAGAACGCGGTCACACAGGGCCGTCCCCAAAGCGATCTCGACGCAGCGTCTCGTTCCCTCGGGGAACCATGGTTACATACGTAACCTAGAGACGTTTAGAGGAAATGGACAGTTTTTATCTAAGATCTGTATTGGTCTCTTGGTCAGTGCAATTTTGGGCAGTAAAACAAAACTGAACAAGTAAGGGTACAGTCAGGTGGTAGTTATCACAAATCATAAACCCAACAGGAGATGAGGACTGTGACATGAAATATATACATACTCGTCACACACATTATCTATCTTGTGACAGCTAAACAGGATACACGATGTACAAGATAAAAGATGTAGGGAATTGGTTTCCTGGGACAACAGTAATAACTGTAATTTGTATTTATTTATTGAGACCAGTGTTTGAAGTATTTCAAAACTGGAGACTGAACCTCTGACTAAAACCTATGGACCTACATTTTCATACCATAGACAATTAAATGTACAGAATGCATGTATTGACAGCAAAACATAAATCATGTACGTATTTGCAAATGTACAAATGTAGCAGGTTCTTATTTTTTATCAAATATTTAATTCATGCAAATAATTGGTTGAAATCATTGTTGTTGACTATCACTGAGAGTATGTTTTCATTCGGATTTATTAAATTCAGTTGACTCATTTACTTATATTGAAATTATATCACTTGATTCTGTTCAGTTAGACGTCTGGTGCAAACTTATTTCAGAAGGTTTTCATTGTAAACAAGACTACACTTTAAAGCCTTAAAATGAATAAAAATTCTGTAATTATTTAACTATTATTTATGTAATATTTTATTATCCACTGCAGTTTTCTGAATGTGCTATGACTCAAAAATGACCATGAAATATGCCCAAAATGCAACATTAAAGGATTACAAACAATCTTTTATTCTTGCACTGCAATCCAAATTTTCAGAATCCACATATCAAGTTTTTATTCAACGATCTTCATCTACAACCTCAGTAGCAACTGTAAATCATGCAATCTTCAAAAATTCTATATTTGCTGCCTCAAGAATCGTTATGACCAATGTATGTTATCGCATGCTTTTTGGTTCTCATGTGACATGCCATATTTCAGGTGGTGTTATATTGCATGTATCTATATAATGGTGCATGGTTACAAATTATTGCCACTGTACATTTTTCTGCCAATTAGTTTTATTTTTTTTATTGTTGAAGAGTGGTTATGTTTATAGGGTTAAGAGATGTGCAATACTGTATACCTATAAAACTGTGAAAATGTAGGTAAATAAATATAATTTTGATGTAAATGTTTTGTAAATATTTTACGTTTCTACTGTTTACTTTTTAGATGCTGTCAGTCCTTCCATATTTTAGCTTTCAGCATCCTCCCCAATTTACATATTGGGGTACAACAACAATATACATAAAAAAAATGAATTCATTCAAAAAGTATGTTTTTGTACCTGGCTACAAATAAATACCTACGTATAAACAATGAGACTAGACTGAATAATTCTATATGCAATGCAGCTTTCCAAGTACAAAAGCCCTACCTTGTGTTTCAATGTGAGATGAATAACTTCCAGTGACATTAAACTGATCTGATAGTAGTTCAAATGAGGGCAACTGAATTCAGATTAATCTTCCTGTTGGGTGAGAATTTGTCCCAGATGAGGAAGAATATATTGTCTCACTTTGTGAACTGGTTTTCTCTTTTTGACAGATGTGTCCGAATGGTTCTGCATTTCTACCCACAGCTGTACAACACCAGCTGTTCACTGTGCACAATCGATTCAAAACTTTCCCAAACTAATGATACTATAGGCCATCGACTTACCCAAAGACCTTAACAAACCAGTTCATGCTCACTGTAGAGGTAAGAATAATGGTACACCTTTAAATTTAATGTAGCTGCTAACATATGGAAATAATTTGCATATGCATTTAAGCACTTTTTTTGGTAAAATAGTTTTCTCTTCTATTCCCTTCACTCAGCATGTACAACAACAGTTGTTTTCAGCATTTTTACTCATGACAGACTGGCAAGAAGATTGGTTAAAATGGTTGAGAGACCAGCTACACAATACTGCATTGACCACAAGCCACTGCAGGTCAATTTCAAGCTAATTTACTGTGTGACCTCCGCTGGCTCACATGAATACTGCTTACATTGTACACCGGCAAAGAAAGGTTCTTTCTCATTGGCTGACCGGTACGAGCAATGAGAACCGAGATCAGATAAGAGCAGACGGCTCGAAGGAAATAGGGAGGGGACAAAAAGTAGATCAGATTAGACAGGGGCCTAATTTGCAGACCAACATCAAACAAGAGATTTTACCAGTGGAAAGGAGATAGACACATTCTGAGCTCCTTTATCGCAACATGAAAACATACATTTGACAACAGAGTTTAAAGCAAATGTGCCCACAGTCACAGATTTCAATCCTTTATAAGCCAAAATATAAGTATTAAGAATTCTGAAGACAAGCCAAATGTTTTGAGAAGAAAAGCTGGGGCATTTAGAGCGGAGTTCCTCCAGACACATGTGTTTTAAGATCTAAGTCTGACAGCTTTACAACGGCCCTACAATAAAGAAACAGACACTGAGAACAACATGCAAACTTTGTGACATTTTTAGGCAGCTCAAAATGGTCTACACGAAGAAATGGGTAAAGTGTCTCCAAAGTGTCCAAGAAACCATTAAAACAATGGCGATCAGACTGGCAGAAATATCCAAACATGACAAAAAAAAAGTACCACAGAACCAATGACATGGCTGTGTGTGAAACTCATGTATAACTTTTGTATACTCGCATGTTTTTGTATATTCAGATATTAAATTTCAAGACATGTAACACCAGGATTGATGCCATGATGCCAAATTTCTTTGACTATTGTGTATTGTATAATTGATCATACTTTGTCACATTTAAATATAAAGCATATTCAATCAATAAAATGTATAAGCTACAGTGGAAGATTTGCAGTAAAAAAAAAAATCAAGTCTGTTCCTCACTTAAAGCTTTTGTATGAAGACTTATAATACAGCACACGGGTCACAGAGACTACTTTTATGCTGTTTTTTGTGACTTTGGGGAGCTTTACAGCCCCTGGTGCACCATTCACTGTCACTGTATAAACATAACGGAAAAAAAAAAATGTTGTATTCCATGAAAGATAATTATCCACCTTCTTCCCAATGAGCCTATAGCATTTTAAATGATGGGAGGCACTTCTGGTTTGGGGACGGTCCACTCAAAATGACTGCAACAAATCATTTTAATTCATAAGGTAGTGCTACAAATAATCCTTCTCTGTCAGTTTGACTGAATGAGCTGTTCATTGTCCTTCATGTTCTATTTTCAGAAGTCAGGAGAATAACGCAACTCTATTTTAATGTGACGTGATATAACAAGAATATCTATGGCAAGAGCTATTATCAGTCTGCTGAAACAATATGAAAAAAGACAACAATATATCCCATGAATAATGAACTAGAATGCACTAAAACTCTGTTTTTTCTTCCTAAATCCTGTCGTCTCTTTCCAGGTTTGTTTTAACACAGATGCTTTAAAATGTAATTGTTACGTAATGTAGACATATATTACTACAATGATATTTAACATTTCCTTAATGTTGCTGCGGACAGAATCTAGCTTTAGGAGTTATGGTATGTTGAATGTAATTCGTTAATGCTTTTACACTTTTACATTTCCTTTTAATGTTATGGTTGAAGGGCGAGTAGAATAATCTCACCCCATTGTACTCAGTTTTTGAAAATGTTTATTATTGTGTTCATGGAGCAAAACTTCTGCTTATTATTTACTGTTCCATTATTCATGCAAAGCGTCATGGGGTGAAGGAAAAAGGTGGATGTGGGTTTAGAACAACATAAGTAAATAATGACAGAATGTACTTTTTTTGGATCTGGATTTTACATTTTTTGGGTTAGTCCTATCCCTGGATTCAGGACGACTGCCAAACAAGGTCTGGAAAACAATGACTGGATACGTTCCTATAAATATTTTTACTAAGATCAGAACTGACAAGAGTGCTTGAATAAGACTAACACTAAAGCATTATTATCTACATCATACACAAGAAATGCACCAATGAAACGTTTGGACACACTCGACAAAATGCATGCTTTGCATGATCTTCAAATAGCTTTTGATCTGAACTCATATATTTGAAATTAGTTTTGTAGAAAAATAAGCATATGCATTTTAATACGTTGGAACAGACAGTGAAGGAAAAGCAGTCAACAAGTGTCCAGCATGAATCGAAACTCCAACACTTTCCTTTGCATTTGCACTTAAAGTTCAAAACCTAAACACTAATTTAAAGTTAGAATCATGAGTGATAACTTCACATGTAAAACTATTTTAAGCATCTATAAATAACCAAAGAAGCAGAAACACAACACAGGATTGTGATGTGCTCAGCACTTATCTGTCAAAAGGAGTCGCTGGTTAAAGGTCCAACAATAAAGTTTTTTTCTGTCCAGCAGCTGTTGTGAAGGTCAGAGGTCACGTATACTGTCAGCGAACAGATGCTACTGACCACACACCTGATTTATTCCACCTACACTGAGTCTTACACCCATTTACTTGATTAAAAAAGCTCCTCTGCTGTCAGACGCAAGGTTGTTCTAAAGGACAGGGCCGCCAGACGTCCTCTTCTGATTAAAATGGGTACAAGGGTGTCACTGCATCCAATGAATCAATGCAGACTGTTTCCTGAAATATTGACATTTCAAAGGAACATGTCAGCTTTAGGAAGCAGACGTGCTTCGGTCATATTTGAGAAATTGATTGTAGACAGATATATTTTGTGTGTGTATGTTTCTCTCACTCATGTTTTCCATTTGTGTCCAATATAGTTATATAGTAAAAGGAGAAATGTCTGTAGATACAGTATACAGTCATTCTGTACTGTATAGTTAGTCCAGATAAACACCATGGCCTGTGTTTAAATACTGGATAGCGGTTAGATGCATTTACCTAAGAAAACAGATGAGCAAATCCATTACGTAAGCTGTTTACTTGCTCAAAGTACTTCTTTTTGTTTATTTCTCATTTCATTGCTTATTTACACAATGCCTATGATTTGAAAACTAATTCTAAGAATCATATTTTTCAAAGTCCAAATCAAGTTCTGGTCACACTTTATTTTGAAGTCCAATTCTTACTATTAACAAACCATTAACTATGACTTTTGACTCAATAAACTCCTAATTTGCTGCTTATTAATAGTAAGGTAGTTGTTAAGTTTAGGTATAGGGTCATGCAGAATATGTGCTTTACAAGTACAAATAAACAGCCAATGTGTTAATAATAGGCATGCTAATAATAGAGAGAATGGCTTAACTAGAAAAGTGTTACAAAAGTTCCACATGAAATGTACAGCGTGAGCTCGAGATTTGAATGTAAGATGACACTTTCAAACGTTCTATGCGTCATCGTTCCATTTTTCATTTTGTCTTACACTCTAAAAAATGCTGGGTTGTTTCAACCCAACTTTGGGTCAAATATGGACTAACCCAACCGTTGGGTTAAATTTTTACATTAAATTTTTAACCCAAAAGTTGGGTTAGTCCATATTTGACCCAGAGTTGGGTTGAAACAACCCAGCATTTTTTAGAGTGTAGATTAAGAAATGCAACTGTGGAAATTAAATAATGATAATATTAATAATAAAATCAATACGTTTAAAATAATAATAATAACAACAATAACCACCACTTTAAATAAATCCCTCGACTCAAAAAAAAAATATAATAATAATAATAAATAGTATAGAGGCACAAAATGCTAAGAAAGATTATTCTCCCTAGCAACATGTGTAGATGTGCTGCTGCTTTCATATTGATAAAAAACAGATGGAACATAAAACGAAACAACAGATGCAGTGTCCGTCGAACATTTCCCCCCTGTTGTGTGCTAGAAATGACAAAAAACAAGTAAATAGCCAGTAAAGAGAGGCTTTAGCAGGAGTAACCTAACAGAAGAACAACATCTTTTTTAGAAAGCACCTAAAATATCTGCGCACGGACCGTTACTCGAGCAACTTTACCACACATTTCTCGCTTTAAATCACACTCACGTCTGATTTAAACACCACTTTACCATTTTCTATCAAATAAAACCCCGATGAAAACTGCGTCCTTTCATTCGGCGGACAGCATTGCGACGGTAACTTTACCTTATGGCTTTTATTACTAGTTTTCTCTCTTCACTTTCGAAGCCTCATAGGGGTCTTTTGTCAACGTGTATCCTTCTGTATCTCTTTAATCCTAAACGAGCTTCTCTTAAATCACAAATCACGCCAAACAATCCATTCTGCATCCGTCCGCTGTGAAATGAACCATTCCACAAAGTCCTCTGGCCGCGTTTATCGTCTACGTGTTTGCATTGGAAAGAAGAAGAGCTGCTGAACGCTGGATGAGAAACTATGAGGTCTCAGCAGACGCCAGTGGTGGAGGTAACGAATTACAACTACTCACGTTACTGTAATTAAGTAATTTTTTCGGGTACTTGTACTTTTTTTGAGTATATTTTTAAAGCTGTACTTTTACTTGTACTTAAGTACAAATTAATGTTCAAATATGCCTAATTTATACAAATGAACTGCCTGTCCTCTCACTCCGATATTGCTTGTGCACAGACTGTGTACAATCACGATCTCTCCGTGCTTTTAAAGTACAAATTATTTCTCTTTGCTCCTGGATTAAACTTTGTCAAAAGTTATCAACCATTCAGAATAGATCCACGCCTGATCGATGAAAATGCTACTGGAAATTGTATTGGCTGTAAGTGAAATGCATCAGAAAGTCTTTCAACTATCAACAATTGAACTTTAATTTCTTTACAATGTAGGCCTAAGTATGCTAGACATGTTTTGGAATGGGATATTTGTCTGATTTGTACATATAAATATCCTAGTCTGTCTAACTGCATCACTACAGTCATTACAGGCCAAAGCCATCTGATTTATCTAAATAAACCACATATATGGCTGTTAAATCACTGCCTATAAAAATTAAGGACCAGCTTAAACCAGCATCCCAGCGTCAAAACATACCTAACCAGCATATGCTGTTTTTTTCAACAGGGTGAACAGTCACTCATGTGCGTTGTGTTGACGCCAGTCTTCTATGGCATGAACACAACACAAATACATTTTAATGCTCTCATGAACACACAGTGCAAACAAAGCACTCCGTTGCTTAATAAAATTGAGGTTATACCACTGAAGTCACAGGGAGTGCTTTAACCATGTCTTTCCTACCATTCTGGGCTTTGAATGTATAAGTTGCGTTGCTGCCTATAGAGGGGAAGCTCTCGGATTTCATCAGAAAGATCTCTATTTGTGTTCGGAAGAGGAAAGAAGGTCTTACAGGTGTGAAATGACATGAGGGTGAGTAATTGATGACAGAATTTCCATTTTTGGGTGAAATAAACCTTTAATTTGTCCGTGGTTCCAACTGAAAAAAAATGAAAGAAGCTGTTTTGGTGCTCAGTGCAAACTGGCTAAGTATGTATTAAAATATTTAGTATCAGCTATTGCTCACTGAGTGCTATTTCAGGACAGAAGAAAAAGCTGCTCTAGAACTTTACTTGCTAGCTGACAAGTGACGTATCTTGCTTGGCAAAAGTTAGCTACTTGTTTCGATAGACAAACTGACATTTTTCAAGTATTAAATTAAAATTGCAGATACATATCAGATAATACTAAATACAAATGTAATAAATTCAATATCATGTCTTGTCTTTTTTATTATAACTGTATTAATGGTACAATTTTAGCATGTATACGTTTTTTTCTACACCAAATAATAAAACGTTGATTCGTATTAGTATATGAGTTTTGATGGACACTGCTAAAATTGACTCTCTCTATAAAAACATATCTTTAAATAAAGAATAACTTCTAAAGAAGAGAAGTGAAAGTCGAAGGGAAAGAACTGACACAGAGAGATATTAAAAAAAGAGCTTCAAATCTGGTTTGAAACCAGGCTTCATGTTGAAAGTATTGGGTGGCTGCATTATTAAAAGGAAAGATGGAAAAAGATCCTGTATTATGTGCAAAAAACAGACCCAGAAAACCTTGGTTGCTATGATTACATAAGCAGAAGAAAAAGAGACGCCCAAAAGAGGCAATGCAGCTTTCGCAATGAATTCCTGCCTGAATACTGAAATACTACACTGTCTGCTGTGGAGCAGAAACGGTGTACAAATGTTGCAGGCTTTACGATGAAACACCAGATTAATGTGTATTATTTGGACTGATAGTTATACATTTAAATCATACTTTTTTTCATTAAACTGTCAGGCAGAATGAACTGAAATAATTTGTTTTAGATTGTGGGATCAATAGGGTCTTACTAGCACATGACTGATATAATAAAATATAATTTATTCAACTTTATTACAAGTAGGATCTAACTAATTTTTATATGAAATTCTTCAGTGTACTGACCCAGTTTACCACAGTACAAACTGCCTTAAAATACAACAGCTCAATATACTATTTATCATCTATCGTGTCCATAATGATGTTTTCAATTCGAGATAATAGAGCTTTTAAGGGTTATTGTGTTATTGCGAATACAACACTGGCCTCTAGTGTTCATTAATGTGAGTTACACGATCATGACAATGTGGCATGTGACTTACAATTTATATGAAAATTACTATTTTTATTAGAAGATTCTTCTGTTTCTGCTACATATTAAACATATTAAATATGTGACAATGGTGTTTTTTTCGGTTTTGTTTTTGTTTAAATAAAGTAAGCATTTTTAAATAGCTAGCTAGACATTAAAAAGATCAGATATTAAGCTTAAATAGGCCTAAATAAATCAATAAATCATCATTATCATCAAAACCACTAAAACCTTGGAATGATATAGGCCTACCTTAAAACAATAGATGTCATGTTAAAAAGGATGTAACATTACTTAAGTTTAAGTAAATTTACTTATATTTTTTTGCGATTTTGTACATGAACAAACGTAAAACTTTGAGGAAACCCATATATGTCCCATGCTTCTGTGTGTGTCTGTCTGTTTGTTGGCCCCTGAGCAAGGAACTAATAGATTTCAGAGCAAAGCTTGTGTAACCAGAGCTGGCATATATATGTTTTTTATTATTTTATTTTTTTTTATTAAAGCTGTTTTAACTGAAAGAATGCATCGATTTGCAGCTCGACTCTCTATATCCTGGCGATTGGTTTTGTTTTGATGGATAAACTGGAGCCTTGAGGAGCTCTGTTGTGTAATGAAAGAGAGCTTGTGTTTAACGCTGGATTCAGCAGCACATTCACCTGCAGGCGTCTGCTTCAGCTCTCACACACAAAGAAACGCTTTGGAGAGTTTCAAAACACAGGCTGGGTCAGCTGCCACAAAGACTGTATAGTACAGGTTTGAGTCAAATGTCAAATCACTCAAATATGTGACCCTGGAGCACAAAACCAGTCATAAGGGTCAAGTTTGAATTCTGAAAGCTGAATAAATAAGCTTTCCATTGATGTATGGTTTGTTAGGATAGCACAATATTTGGCTGTGATACAACTATTTGAAAATCTGGAATCTGAGGGTGCAAAAAAATCGAAATAATGAGAAAATCATCTTTAAAGTTGCTCAAATTAAGTTCTTAGCAATGCATATTACTAATCAAAAATGAAGTTTTGATATATTTACAGTAGGAAATTTACTAAATATCTTCATGGAACATGATCTTTATTTAATAATATCCTAATGATTTTTGGCATAAAAGAAAAATAATTAATTTTGACCCATACAGTGTATTGTTGGCTATTGCTTCAAATATACCCCAGCGACTTAACGCTGCTTTTGTGCTCCAGGGTCACATATGTGTTTTCTGATTATGTTTATGTCAATAAATAGCAGTTTCTCATTGTGGCCACTTACCCTTGTGAAAAAGAAGTACACTTTAACATACTTTAAAAATGAGTAATATACTTTAAAAGAATATACTTAAGTACAAACTGAATGTAATGTTTTCAGATACTTGCAAATAAATTAAAATATAGTGTACATATAAGTAACACATTAAGTCAACACATTAAAATAAGTGCACTTCTTTAAAGCACGGCAAAAGATTAAAACATAATGATTTGAATAACCTTTAATTTGACATTATCACAAATTTCTCTTGAAAGTGTCTCAATTTAAGTGCACTTAAGTGGCCTTTTATTTCATTAATATTATGGTTACACTTTATTTTAAGGTAAGTGCAATGTTGTTGCAGTGTAATTACACAACTAAGTACTGAGTATTAGTAGGTTATGGTTTGGTTTAGGGTTAGTTACTTAATAATTTACTCTTATTACTAAAGTAAGTACATGTAAGGTGTAACTAAATCACTTTGAAATAAAGTATCTTTTCTGGGTCACATTTTAGTTTAGGGACCAATTCTCACTATTAGCTAACTAACAACAACTTCTGCGTCAATAAACTCCTAATTTGCTGCTTATTAATAGTCAGTACGCTGATAAGTTTAGGTATTGGGTGGATTAAGAAATCTAGAATATGATCATACAGAATAAGGTATTAATATGTGCTCTATAAGTACTAATAAACAGGCAATATGCTATGCATGCTAATAAGCTACTAGTTAATAGTGAGAATTGGTTTCTAAACTAATGCATTACCATTTTCTGTAACATACGTCAGTACAGCTTTTTAAAAATATACTTTTAAGATTTGAAGTTGACTTTTTCACAAGGGACTCTAAATATGCCCCGCTAAAATATCAAGCTTGTTCATTAAACTGTATTTTTCCTGAAATATCAGTAAAATGCTCAAAAGCATTTTAAAGCATGTGTCTACACAGTAATTAACTTTCAGCCCTGAGAAATATTAACTGGAGCTCTTCAGTGATTACATATGCTCGTTATTACTTGAATTAATAAGCATTTATGTAATATAACTAATCAAATAATTAACACAATACACAGAGTAATACTAGAGTAAGTTCACAGACATTGCTATCAGAGTCCCTCTGCTTAGAAATATACTGATATTGCTGGTGGACACTTTTGTGCTCTTCAGATATGCTATATGCTCGTTATTACTTGAATTAATAAGCATTTATGTAATATAACTAATCAAATAATTAACACAATACACACTAGAGTAAGTTCACAGACATTGCTATCAGAGTCCCTCTGCTTAGAAATATACTGATATTGCAGGTGGACACTTTTGTGCCTCATTTGAATACTTCCAGTTCTTCTTTTGTGTAAAATAAGCCCTCAAAACCACAAAAAGTGTACATTTATATTATGTAAATATGTCAGCGTACAGTGCTTCTCTTGTCATCAAGTTGCTCAACATCGCCTTCTGCTGTCCTGTCTTTACACCTGCATGCTCTTTGCATGTCATCTATAGTTAAAAAAAGAAGAAAAGAAAAATAACTTATAAAAAGAGCAAAGGTTTCAGAACACATTTATTGGAGCTGAATCTTTGGAATATGTCAGTCGATCTGATTCTATCAGAGACAGAGCAGATGTGGAGGAGATTTTCTTTCGTGATGCCGATGTTCAAATACAAAACATTGATATCCATTTTAAGGCCTTGCTGTTTTTTATTCATTTTTTCCTTCCTACAACAGCAACGTACAGAGGCAGTATTGAAAATAAAAGTTTTCTTTGCTTCCGCATCTTCTTGTAAAAAAAAAAGAAAATGAAAAAGAAACAAATCGGCACAAAATTTCAAGGACAGTACAAAAAGCAAAAGAGAATCAGGGTCAGGTAAACGGGAGCTTTACTATAGGAAATCTGTATATCTTTTTCAATAATGAAAACATCTTGATAACTGACCATTTCAGAATCGTATTACATATTCTGAAACTATATAAAAAAGAAATGAACACTGTCTTTTTTATTTCAGTTGTCTTTTTTACAAATGAATGCTATAAACACATAAACTTCATCAAATATTTTGATCAGTGCAACATTGTTTCTTTTTCGTTAATGCTACAGTATGCTTTCTCACAGAATCCTGACTGAAGCCAGTGGCCTTTATCCAGCTTCAGCTGACACACATGTAGCATCGACACAAGGATTCATGTCATCGGAAACTACCGGAAAGAAACGGGAAAACAACAGTATACAGCACAGTACATGAACATACCGAGAAACCTGTAGAAAACATTAGTATTGTCAGCAGTGAAGCCCTGTTATCGGTTAAACTACGTGTGTACGGCATTGCTAAAATCAGACCCATCCAGCGGTCCAGAATCCAAACCGTCGACCCAGTGACAATGAGATGAGATGGTCTCCAGACGTCTCAAGAGAATGGGTTGTTGCGATTGGACCCTGCAGTTTGAGGCAACAGTCCTTTGGTACAGACACAAGGCCAATGACAGAACGCTTGCGAAGCGATGCGTGAGAACTTTTATTAGCACCACTCTTAAAATGAGAGTTTTATTCAAAAGCACATGCATTCAAGCTCGACGGATGGTGAAAGAAGCGCTTTGATGAAACCTCAAATCAAAGCAATCAAGGCAATGACGATCATCAATTTTTTTTTTGGTATGCTGGATAAACAGACATTCTGAATGTGATTATAGAGGATATGATGATTATAAATCTGTAATCCAGGTGAATAAAACTCGCCTATGAAATGCATTTATGTTCCCATGATGAAATGCGCGCTGGATTTGTATTAACATCTGTCTTGAACAAGGTCTGCATCTTTTGGGAGCGTAGCAAAATAACCAAACAGGACGGAAAAAGCACACGTTTCACTTTCACAAAACAGTCAGACGATTGTATTTACAACATACAACCCAAGAAAAAAGGGATACTGCAGCTTTCTTTTTTGTCCTTTTACTCGTTTCTTTGAAAAGGGCATTAAAATATATTAAAACTTATGTACAATATGCAGGACTTTAACATTAAAGCGCTATGAATTTACCGGGATTTGTTTTGCAGATTCGACCGACAGCTTTTTCGAGAACTAAAGGGTTGAAAACACCCAGAAAACAACAGAGGAGGCCAAAAAAGATGTACCAAAGGCACTGACTGAACCATACTCAGAATGCAACAGGGCTGGATGATTTTCCACCCCGTTTGATCCTTGCCCTACCATGGGGTATTAACCTTCCCTTGGCCGTATATGGTTCTTTTTTTTTTTTTTACACATCTCCTTAAAGCGCAAAGCAATCTTTTAAAATAAAAATAAATGATTTTTTTTCCTCCTACCAAAAAAAAAAAAGAAAAAAAAGATAAATACTTTATAACATTATTATATATTGGTCTCAACACCAGCATCGGATTGTAAAAATGATCAACCAAAAATAATACGAAATAAAAAATTAAAATAATAATTTCAATCATCTGTACATATTCTTATTTTTCATTTTGTTTTGTTTTTTCCTTGTATTCAATGTTTTGTACACAGTGTCCCCTACTGGTAGGTTCCGTTCACTGCAGCTCCTGAGAAAAGCATGGCTCAGTCCCAGACCTCCCATTGGTTCGCTGAACCACAGAGCCTTGTCCTCCTCCAACCGGAAGGCATCGGCAGTCCGTTTTAGCCCCGCCCTCCCTGAGGAGAGGTTCCCTCTGATTGGTCGGTGCCTCACGCTTCTGAGTACGTGTTCTGTGAGTTCAGCTTGTCCTTCTTTAACTTGACGCCGTCCACTAGCTCAAAGTTATAGTTTTCCAGGGCGGATAAGTTCCTGTCGGACATGGCGCTGTGGGAGCAGGCGCAGTAGAGGACCACGCCGCAGATGGCGCCGAGGAAGACCCCCAGCGCGCTCATGGCGATGATGGTGATGAGGATGGGGTCCAGCGTCTTCAGCATGTTTCCGGCGCCGCTGATCTCGTGGTTCTCCACAATCTCAGGGAAGTCTGTGATGTCCACGACTGGAAGAGAACAGATGAGCAAACTTGTTTTAGATATTGCTTTTGGATTTTATGCAGTCAAACAAAAAATTATGTAGACACCAGATATGATTTTTGATATATATATATATTTTTTTTTACTAGTGGGTGCAGGACACTACAGTCACTAATTTTGAGAGTGTTCCAACATTTATTCAGCATTTGCATGCATTATATTTGAGAAAGCCACTTACTGATTTCATTGAAGTTGTCCTCAGGTAGAATTGGCTCTGCTGGGACATCTGGGTCTATAAAAGGGCAACATAAAACAGTCAGGAAATGTACATAATTCAATATTGCCATCTAAGTCAGTTGTTCTCTACCAGGGGCCTCAGCACACTAGGGCCACAATATGGCTTAAAATTATTTAAAATAAGACAAAACAAGCTTTAAAATCTAAAACAGCTAAAAATCTAACTATAAGTTAAAATCATATTTGTAATTTTAATTTGTTCCCTCAACTGCCATTATATTTAAGGACCAAGGTTGTCATGATCTTGGATATATGAGAGCATTTTTAAAAAGTGATTTCGAAGTAATGGATTGTTTTGTTTTTTATCATGAATATATTTTTTTAAACTCTAAAATATTGTATTGGGCAGAAATAGCTATTTAGGAGTAAAACTAAATAAAAATGAAATAAATTATTATA